TGTTTTAACGGAAGGGGATAGAAATAAGTGGATTTGAATCAAAGTTCTAAGGTTAATATAAATAAGTAATATATTAAAATTTGTATTCGAAACACTTGTATTTCGTTAAAAACATATTGTTGATTTATTTTTTAACAACAATATTAAAAATAAATCAATATTATATACAATAACAATTGGTTCAAAAATGAGTGTTTTTTGAATAAGTACAATATATACAATAAACATATGTTTAATCTTTAATGATGAACATCATGTAAGTAATACAATTGTGTATATAAACACATGTGAATTTTGTGTATTAAAAACTTTATTGTTGTTATGAATGATACTATTTCTGTAATTAATAACTTGTATGTTTTAATATTCGTCAATTTCAAACATGTCAAAAATGATGTGACATGAAATTTTCTTTTCAATAATTTCTACAAAATATATAAAATGGTTGTATGATTCCTTCAAGATATAAAGCAAAACATAATTTTTTAAATATTGTTCAAGTGTACATCACTCAGCATTCTAAACATGTTTAAACATTGCTCAATTGAAAACAAATCATCAATCAATGAAATCATAAGTAAATCAAAACATAATTAAATATTATATTTTATGGGTTCTTATACAGTTAACAATTTATTATAATTTAATTTTAATTATAATTTAAAAATAAAAAAGTTATAGTATTTATTTATAATTTCACAAACCATACAAAAACAAACCAAAAGTAATCTATTTCCCGTTTTATTACTTGTTATGTGTGTAACATAACTCTTTTTATTAAAGTTTTCACTTTTAAAAATTCCAATGGTTGAAGTTTTATGTTTCTACAAAAAGTTTCCTTTTTAAATTATTAATTATGAAACATATTGGGAAACTATACCAAATAGAATCCAACATAACTTATAACAATTCAAAAATCAAAACCATATTATTTAAAGCCATTATTAAATAATAATTTCAGAGAGATGAACAAAACGATGCAAGCATTAATCAAAGCAATGTCTGTGCTGACCGAAACTACCAATGGTCATGGTGGTGCAGTTGTCAGACGCAATGGGAAGATCATGAATCAAAGTGGAATCAATTTGACTGACAACGAAGCTGTCCTGATCGCAGACAAAATGTTCAACAACGATTTCGAGTATTTCCAGATGGATGGAATGACTATTAAGAATCACAAGTATGCAGTGACCAATTCCGATGACAAA